CATCTGCCTGCGTGCAGTTTGGAGGTGCAAGATACCTGAGCGTGTAATGTTAATTTTACCTGTGATCCTTTGAATAAATCAGCACTGTTTTGAAGTTACTTGGACTGTCTCGTCTCTCAGTGTTAGCAATGGTAACAAGAACCATATCCTGCACGACGAAGCTGCTTGAGTCTTGCTGTAAACCAGGGCTTGTTGTTGTATGTGCAGAAGGTCTTTTTGGGCACACACATCCTCACAAAAACTGCTATAGGATGTCAGTGTCAGTGAGTTCATCCAGGTCTGTAGCTGCAGTCTCAAATACACTCCAGTCTGTGCAGTCAAAGCAGGGCTGTAGCTCTGACTTAGCCTCCTCAGTCCAGCTCTTCACTGTTTTGACTACAGGCTTCGTAGCTTTAAGTTTCTGCTTGTAGGTTAGAATAAGATGGACCATGCAGTGATCAGAGAGTCCCAGGGCAGTGCGGGGGACAGAGTGATAGGTGTCTTTTTATTGTTGTGTAGCAGTGATCCAGTGTGACTTTGTCCCTGGTGGGACAGGTGACGTGCTGTCTGTATTTGGGCAGTTCGTGGGTGAGATTGGTCTGTTAAAATCCCCTAGAACAATGAGTGGAGAGCACAGCACACCTGTTTGCCTGCATCTCCGATCTGTCAGAGTCACCAGGCCAGAGCCCTCACACCTCCATCAAAGTGGGGACGATTTTTCACACCCCTGTAACCCAGCCATGCTCTGCGGAGACCCCCTGGACTCCAGCTGAAGCCTGAGCCATTTGGCAGGAATTGAAAGCCCAGATGGCCACGCCCCTCTCTATTCCTTCTGGGCTGCCAACGCCGCCTCTGATCTTGTTTCTGTCCCTGAGCAGGTCAGGGATTCTGCCAGGTCCTGTCAGGCACCGAGTCATCCTCCCACTGGTTTTGTCTTTTGGGTTTTCTTTTTTTTCCTTCTTGTGTTATCGTTTGTGTCTGACCAGTGCGTTTTTAATATATTAAAGAGACTGTTTTACTTATCCTCATCTGGCTCTATAATTGAGTTCACCCGGTGACATCATCGGCAGCTTTACGTGCTGATCCTGACGCTCAGAGAAACCTAAAATACATACATTTTTCTCACGACACACTGAAGAACCTAAGATAAAGCTAACTAATGCCATGACCTGAAAGCAAACCAAATCATTGTGTAACTTCATGAGATATCCTTTCCAAATAAGGATATATTTAGTAGACTGTTGACTGCTGCACATGCTGCTCCCATGCAGCATACATTTTCTATTATATTCTTTTATTGTATTGCTGCATTTGTTGCTGCCTTAAAGTGTCCTAAATTTTGTGTTACATGCATAATTGCACAACGACTCTGCTTACTATATTGCTGCATCTCGGCTGCTTAAAGTGCCTTAGATTTTGTGTTATTTATTTATCTACTTTATATTTAATTTGTATTTTGTGGCATTCATGTGGACGGCAAAGTAGAAATTTCATTGAACAGGGAAACACGTCTCCTAACTGTGTATATGACAAAATAAACACTTTGAACTTGAACTTGAACTACCATGTGAATACTGTACATGCATTTATGCTGACATGCAGTTGCATGTACATGGGGACAGTTTTACCTGCTTTCCATGTCCAGACAGCGTCGATTGGCCATGAGAATCTCCTCCTCTTCCTTCTGGATTCGAGCCTCCACTGATGTGTCATAGCTGCTGCTGGGAGAGTGACTTATTATTCCTGCACATGTATCTCTGCAAAACAAAACAGTCTGCATTAGACTACAACACTGTTCAAAACTAGCTCATCCATGAATGTCATCTCACCCTGGGTGAGTCGCTACATCGCTTACAGCTCACAGATATCCAATCTTTTTTCTACTTTAGTGACCTGGTTAACTTTGTTCTGTCAGGTAAGTTACATTTTATTTAAATTTATTAGGCTAATATAAATAACATATACATGATAAATGCTGGGCAGCACGGTGGCACAGTGGTTAGCGCCGTTGCCTCACAGCACGAAGGTTCCGGGTTCGGGCTCCGCCCGGGACCTTTCTGTGTGGAGTTTGCATGTTCTCCCCGTGCTTGCGTGGGTTCTCTCCGGGTACTCCGGCTTCCTCCCACAGTCCAAAGACATGCAGCTTAGGTTGATTGGTGTCTCTAAAATTGCCCATAGGAGTGCATGTGCGTGTGTCTGGTTGTTCGTCTATGTGTTAGCCCTGCGATGGATTGGCGAACTGTCCAGGGCGTACCCCGCCTTCGCCCGATGGCTGGCCGGAATTGGCCCGTGACCCCGTTCAGGGACAAGCGGTAGAAAATGAATGAATGATAAATGCTGGTCTAATGACTACCATCACACACACCACAGCCAATTGCATTTCTATATTTCTTCCTATAAATGAAAATAAAGAATGGTTAAATTTAGGGACTTTGGGGGATATTTACTAAACATGTTGTGACACTGCAACCTTTTACTTTAGCAGCATATTTACCAACACTTATAATGCAAGTAATGTTGGAGAAGTGTTTATTTGAATACATGGATTATGGGGACCTGATTGAGAGGGAGTGTAGAACAAAGTGCAAGTGTGTGGTGACTGAAGTTCAAATATGGTTGAAGAATTCAACCATATTGAACTGAGAGTATTTGTATATATTTCCATTCTCTCCTCCCTTTTTGTGCCCCTGAACACCTTAAAATACATATTGTATGAGACCAAATCTGCGCATTCCACTGTTTCTACTTTTCTTCTGATTCTCTGGTACAAAGCCCTATTGTAACTCTTTAAACAGCCCATGGCGCTTTTCCTTGTTTTCTGACTTATCTACAATGTGACAACAGTGAATTATCATCTTAGACGTAACATAAAACTCAAAAAATGAGGTGTAGGTATGTTCTAGTACTTCTATTGAGAAGCAACTCAGTTTATACACGTCTCATAAACTCTCGCTCGCGAGACTTTTTTTTTTACCAAAATAAAGTATTATGTGATAATTTAAGGATTTCTCTGAATGGCCATAAAATCCAGGCCATTTGCACATTTGTTTGAGCTTGCCTGACCTCCACCATATTGGTAAAATGCTACATTTCCTTGAGTCTTATGCGTATTTTTAATATAGCCTATGTATAAAAAAAAAAAAAAAAAAAAAGAAAAAAAAAAAGACATCCACCAGTGCCATTGTAAAAGTGAAATTTTTCGACTGCGCCTGGTTTTGTGAATATATTTTCCCTCCTGCTGCTGCACTGTGACCAGAGGATGTGGAGAAAAATATAGGGCTGGAGGTTACCGCATGTCTGGGAATGTTCCTGTACAGGGACTCGCTGTATTACCTGACTGGGTCTAACCTACCGCCAGCTGGCCAGTGAAGTCCCCACAGCAGTGAATGATCATCTCATCAACACTGGAATCCCCGCGGAGCACAATATTTGTTTGTTGTGACTGCTTGAGCCCAGTGTGTCTGCTGCATGTGATTTGATGCTGGTTAACTAGCAGATTAATGACCCATGATGTTATTGTCTGTGCTACGCTTCCTGTTGGAATTAATTTCACTACTTTGGGACTGTATGTGGTCATGTGGGGGAAGACACAGTGACCACCGGTTGGATTTACCGTCCTTGGAGCTACTTGAAAGGGAGTGATGTTTTCACTACTCGGTGGGACTTAACGGCAAGTTTAAAAAAATAAAACATGTTGCACATCTGTTAATGCCTTGTTTCTGTAACATAAGAGAGAATTGTTGTAAGGCTGGAGAAGTTACTATGTCTGCATTATGCCAGTTAAAATATGGGGTTTCTCAATTACTCACTTTGTTTAGAGTGTTACACATCTCTTTTCATCAGTATATATACTGTTGTTTAACTATCATTGGAGGAGAAATTCAAATTAATTAATGCCGTTACGGCTTGTTGTGCTGTCCGCTTGTGACACAGCACAAGTAGGAGGACCTATGCGTGTTCACAAACTAGCCTCTTGTTTTAAGGAACAGGCTTTTTGGCTCTGTGATTCTGAAATAATTACAGACTATTTGGAGTTATGATGGGAGCCAAGGTAATCTAAAGGTACCCAAGATTTAACATTAAATGGCTGGAAACAAGCAAAAGGAGCAGCCGCGGGGACTTTAATAAATATGAACATGCAATTTCACTGTTCAGTGCCAAAAAATGAGCAGCAAAGAATATCCCCCATTTTGTCTTGAGTTAATAGCTGTCTCAGCTGGGGTGGTTGCTAATCCATTCCATTGCTCAAGATTGAAATTGATTCTGAAAAAAGTGGTGGCACACAAAATTCAAACTCCAGACTGCAAAGGTTAAGACTATCTAAGATTTCTGTAACCAGAACATCAAGAACCAAAAAATAATCAGTTATAATGGTTTTTAACATTATATGACCAAGCCTCCCACTGGGGACAAATCCCAGCCAATCCAATCCCAGTTGACACTGGGTGAGAGGCGGGGCCCACCACAGGTCGCCAGTCTGTCACAGGGCTGACATATAGACAAACAACCACACACACTCACATTTACTCCTACGGGCAATTTAGAGTCACCAATCAACCTAAGCTGCATGTCTTTGGACAGTGGGAGGAAGCAGAAGCACCTGGAGAGAACCCACGCAGGCACAGGGAGAACATACAAACTCCACACAAAAAGGCTTTCCTTCAGTTTGCTGTTCATATGGGAGCATGGGGGCTTCATTAGAACCCCACTGTAGTGCCACATCAAAGGGAAATTGAACTATCCCAAAGGAGGGGTATACCACACAATAAAATTAGATAAAGCAAAAACTCTCAGAGTACCTATAATATGAACAGAAAGAGAACTCAGTCCTCTTTTGAATGTACTCACAATGTGAATACAAATGAACTGAATTTGGTTAATTTAAAAAGGACTATATGTGAAAACACCCTTGATCATTAGCATAATGAACTCCACTACAATTGGCTAAAATAAGGCCATCTGTTCCATTTTGTTTGTGGGAAAGTTTCTTTAACAAAAATGTCATATAAAGAAAAACTTCACCAAAGTCAGTAATGTATCAGATGACCCATAACTAGAGATTTCCCAATCCAATCATAAGCATCGCATCAGCACCAATCTAGGCACTTTTCACAGGACAGCATAGAGCTAAGCCACTTCCAATTCATATGTAGAACTACAGTCCTGTATTTGAATGGACACAGTCGTATCACGCAATGGATAGGGGCGGCTGTGGCTCAGGAGGTAGAGCGGGTTGTTACCTAACTGGAGGATTAGCGGTTCAATTCCCAGCTTGTCCAGTCAGTGTCCTTGAGCAAGACACTGAACCCCCAGTTGCTCCCAGTGATGCCACCGGTGTGTGAATGTGGGAGTGCGAATGGGTGAATTGCCAAATAATGTGAAAGCAGTTTGAGTGTGCTGTAAAAGTGTAGAAAGGCACTATACAAAGTATAAGACCAATTACATAAGCTGTTACATTAATCACTCCAGCTGACACATCACCGGCCTTTGCAACGTGAAGCCTATTTTTAGCTTCAAGTCTATTTTTTCAGAGCTTTGTGTGTAAAACACTCAGAGGAATCCACCAAAACAATGAAAGCTCACTAGTTCCAACCAGAACTCCACCAAAATAGAGAAATACAACAAGCAATAATAGTTACAACATGCTATCTATCATATGTTAAATCAATCCTACTGAACATGGCAGTTATTTAAAGTGTATGTCACTTTAATTTGCTGCATTTTACCATGAGTTGGATACATATACATGCAAGTGTAGCCAGTAATTCCCTCACTGGCTAATATTTGTCAGGGTTTTGGAACATAGTTTTTCCTTTTCCAAAGTGTTTCTGTAGGCTGCTCTGTGGTTTTTGTAGCTTCCTATGCATGATTGAGCATGTGCCTTTGTATAGCCATGAGCACGAGCCTCCTGCGATGTGCATGCAGAATTTTACCCACTGCACAAGCTATGCTTTCATTGTAGACATGTTAAGTTTCATGCTTTTGTCCATTGGTGCTACGACAGCCACCACTTTTCAATGATGCAACATTATTAAATTGTCAAACAGGGAGATCTAAACTGGACTGGGTACACAAGCGGTTTTCACATACAGATACAAAGTGGAAGTTAGTATCTGTAAAGTTTTGGAACTGTGTGTTTTGACTGTGTGTTGCCTAGCTCCCAGTTATTCTTTTATTCATAGCAATAATTTGAGCCAATAAACTTAATATTTTGGACCCAGCACCTGATTCAGCATTTGGATCAAGAAGCACCTGAAAAAAAGTTTAAGAAAAGATTAAGTTCAATCTGTCAGATATTTAATGAAAATTTATTGTATGTATCGGATCATAATCAGTATCAGCAGATACTAAAGTATCGGTATCAGGGCAATAAAACTGGACTGGGACACCCCTATCCATAACGATTAGAAAACCAAGATAAGCTATAAAAATTAGGCAATGTGCATAGTACATGTCTACATGAGGTGTCATCAGGCCAGTGCTGTACTGTCACAGAAATAAATAGGAATGGTTAAAGCTACATGAAGTTAGATGTTAATACCGTTCTAGAATGAAGCAGTCCAGGACTGAGGCTTTGTCCAAAATCACTCACTACTCACTGTGTAGGGCACTATGTAGTGCTGAGGTTATGTTAAACAAATATTTCCATCATTGACAGAATTTTTTTGGCCACCAACTGTGCCACCATTGCTACCTTGAAACCATATCTGGGCCAAATCAGTCTGCTCTGTGGGTATGGTTAGGGAATTTAGGGACGATGGGCTAAAAATTGTAGATAAGATCTGTGTTAATTCTTTACACTAGAAATTAGCAAGCATTAAATAATCATGATGAAAACATACAATCAACATACACTGACTGCTGTGGGCATGACTGAATGATGTAAACTTTATTTTTTACAGTTGCATTTATAGCAAAACTTCAGATGTGGTGATGAAGGCTTCAAGAGACTGGAAATTCTCATGAATAGCTGTTAGCCTGAATGTCCACAGCAATTTACTGAGGAAAAGCCCACCTTTCATGCAGTGCCCTGTTTTATAAAAAACTACAATTGAGCAGCTCTACAGCTGTGACTGATGATGCAAAGCTGATGACTAATGATGCAAAGTGATGATGATTATACACAAGTGAATAAGAGTGAATTCAGGCAGCTTTTTCAGACACTATTTTTGTCTTGTAGGTCAATTTCGGCCTCTTATTTAAACTCCATATTTATTCAGGTGAATCCACCAAATTTCTTAAGTCAAACAAGGGTTTTCCCCCTGTGAAGAAAGGCAGTATATTACTGTAAATTGGTGTCACCTACAACTGCTTCTTGCATGAGGCCCAATGTCATGCAAAATGAAATGTCATTAACTCTAATGTAGAAGTACCTCTGAGTAGCAACAGAGGCAGCCGCATCCAGGGCAAACTGCCTCATCACACTCTCCTCCAGATACTTCTGCTCCCACTTGGTCATGTCAGCTTCCAGAGCCAGGATCCGCTCCTCCTTCTCCCTTAGGTGTTCCATTAGTGCGGTGGCATTGTACTCAGATGGGACTGCAGCACTGCTTTGAGAGCTTCCCTGACGCTGAAGGGATGAAGAAGACATGAAGAGGGGAGCTGAAAAAATTTAGAAAAAATCAACTGGACTAGATTTCTAGGTCGAAGTTTTTTCAGCTTACTATGACCTGGATGACTGAGAATCTGCACAGACATGAAGAGGGGAGATGAAAAGAATTGTTGGTGTTTGATTTTCAGACATATTATTGCTAACAAACTGTTGGCTCGTGAAATTTTAATTTCATTCTTTTGATTTGGATTCTGTTTTGTTGACATTTGAGTTAGCAATAAGCCTAATAAAGGATCAGAAGATAATTGCAAGATGTTACTAACATCTGTATGCTGTAAAACAAAAATACATTAACTGAGTAACTGTATGGTATTTTGATTTTTTTTGTTAAGGTTGATCACTGAGAGAGAACTGGAAGGACTTTCAGGGAATGGAAGGCAAACTGACCACCACTGGTGCTGGCTGATGAACAATTGAACATCTTCTACTGCTTTTTTCACTAGTGTGAAACAAATCAAGTTTATGATGGTTTATACTGCCTCTGGGAAGTAGCTGTACGCTTACATTGACAGAGGCTTTAACCTTCTCCTGCCTACTTGGGTTTGAAAGTTTAAGCTTGCTGAAAACATTCAGTAATACAAACCTGCAGGCATATGTACAGATAGACCCTGGGTGGTCCACATGCACCTGCCCTTTGCTCTCTCACTTAATATGTGCAATCACAATTAAATCAACTCCATCTCAACTATTATTACACAAAAATGAGTTAGTATTAAAGCCATATGAGCTGTTGCTCATAGGCATGTTTAAATTAAGGAAATGTGCAAATATGTGATTCCTGCACTCTTTATATGTCTGCTCATACTGACTGTCACAAAAACTTTAAGTTAAGGCCTAATAGATGATCTATTCTTACTCCTGTCCAACAAAATCTGGCAGATGTAGGCAAATCAGCTGATTTTTGACACAACACAGGGACAATGCTGCTTGTGGAGAAGGGAGGGAACTATTCCAGGGATTTGGATGCATCAAGTTCTCCACTTCGATTCCAGGTAAAATGTGACAAAAAACACAGGGGGCCACTAAATGAACAGAGCTACATAGTTGAGATCAATGAAAACTATTTTTGACTTCAGTGAACACATTCAAGTTTATTAACAGATTATTTCCTCTCTTTTTTTCTTGGTTTGGTATTTGAATCAAGAGAGCTTGGAACAAATTTAAGTTTGAGTCATGACATTTATTTTTATGTTGTCTGTTTCACCAACTGTTAACTCTCTTAACTAGTTATTAGCCAACAGAGAGTGAGATTACAATATAAACTAGAGAAATGCATTTCCTGTCGAAAATGCTTGTGGAAAGCTGAAAGATTGTCCTGAAAATGCCTGAAATCAATTGCTGAAACAGGTGAAAGATGAGAAGAAATGGCTGAAGTTCTTTGTTGAAACAGTTGAGAAGAAATGGCTGAAGTTCTTTGTTGAATAATCTGAAGGATGAGATGCAATAAAGTAGGAATGGCCTTGAAGTGTCAGGTTTGCCCGGCTGCACCTTCCTCTCTTGCTTTTCTCACTCTAGTTTTGCTTCCTCACCCTGATTACACAATCTGGCACACCTGCCCCACTTCCCCTGATTATCACCAGCTGCACCTTATTAGTCTCCTCCCTATTTATACCCTGCTCACCGTTCACTCCCTTGCCAGTTCAATCCCTATTTTCAGGCCCTGTTGTGCATTGTTTTTCTCCAGTTTACCAGTTAGGTTTCTCTTAGTCTTCATGTTTTACCCATAGCTTCTGTCTACCCTGGGTCTCTTCATCTCCAAACAATTCATTTCACTCGTCCATTCTCCTGCTGTTCTTTTTTTCTTTTGCTACGGACCTCTCCTCTGGACCCTGGAACTACTCAGCCCTGCCACCATACATGTCGATGCACAGTCTCCATTAACTGTCTATGCATGCTCCTGTCTCCTCAGCCATCATCACTTCAACCACGACCAGTTCAGGAGTGACCCCAGCGTCCGCAGCCCGGTCTGTAACCATCCATCTAACCATTGACTGTTTTCCTCTGCCACAGATCGACACCCAGTTACTCCTTCTCATTCAGCACCTATCTGTTTACTTCACTGTATTTTGCACTGTAAATAAATCTGTCACTACTTGTACCGAAACTAGCTACCTGGGTCCATCTTTTTTTCTGCTCGCTCATTCCCGTGTCCGAGCAACCTTAACATGAAGAGCTGAACATTTTGATACCTGAATGGCTTTTCTAGCTGAAGGTATACTGAACTTATTAAGGTGTGAAAATAGTCCAATAGGACTGTTAGAAGTCAACCCAATTCTTTTGTTGGAAGCATGAGAAGTGAAGACAGGAGAGGACTGTTTAAGATCAACAAAGTTTACTGAAAGTCTGATCACAGGTAGGTCTTACAGCGCTGGATTCAAAGACAGAGCTCCCGCAGGAAAACCGGCTTCTGAATCCTGAATTAAGTTTTTACAACACATTTATCTTCTTAGGCTGCTCCGCCCTGGACAGGGGTGCAACCTTCAATAGTTAGTGATCCTATTGGTCATTTGGTGTGAGTAGGTCAAACCCTGCCTGTGCTTGCTTGCTGATATGTGATCTAGACCAGGTGTGTGTCTGTGTGTGCCTCTCTGGTACCCCGATCTTGATCTTGAGGTGCACTGATCAATGGGTGGCCTGAGTTGCAAATTTTCAAAATAAAGATAAATATTTCAAAGGTAAGAGGATTTAGAAAAATTCTGAAGAGAAGCATGAATGTACTTGGAGAGATGAACATTTTGATACCTGAAATAGCTGAAGGTATGCTGAGTGTAGAATTTCCCCATGCATTTGAATGGGGCACGATTTTCATAATAAGGCTTAATATTATAAAAGTATGAAGTTTAGAAAATTTCTGAATAGAAGCATGAATGTGCTTGAAGAGCTGAACATTTTGATATCTGAAATTACGCTGAAGTAGAATTTTCCCATTCATTTGAATGGGGCAAGATTGTCAAAATAAAGCTAAATATTTCAAAAGTATGAAGTTTACAAATGACGGCCCTTGATCAGCTGAAAATTTTGATACCTGAATGGCTTTGCTAGCTGAAAGTATGCTGAACGTATTAAAGATTGTGAAAATAGTCCAATAGGACCCCACAAAGGAGGTAAAACAAGTAGGTGTGAACGTGGGGGGCGGGGAGAGGAGAGAGGGAGAGGGGGAAGGGGAGAGAGACAGAGGAGTTATGTAAGGGCATGTCCCAATTGCGCTGCATTTTATGAACCACCAGATGGCACTCCAAGACTGTGTCATTGACTCAGCACTTTGAGCTCCCATTGGCATATAAAGTGCCAAAGAAAGGGTGGAAGATCCCAGAATATGGGATGCTTTAAAGCATCCACACAATAAGCAGTATTAACAGAAACACTGACAGCAACAAACAGTGCAAATAATGCAGAATAAGCAGTATAAAGAGACAGTAAACAATGCAGACAACAAACATCTCCATTGATTTGAGCGTGTTCAGCTCCAGGTTGTTGCGGCTACACCACAGGACCAGCTGCTCAACCTTCCGTCTATAGGCTGACTCGTCACCGTCTCGGATGAGACCAGTGACCGTTGTATCATCAGCAATCTTTAGAAGCTTGACAGACGGGTCCTTCGAGATGCAGTCGTTGGTGTTATTAGATATTAGTAATTGTTAGACCCTAATGTGTTAGTAATGCAATTTATTAAGATTCAATGTCTGCTCTAGTCTGTTTTGTTTCAAGGTTAGCAGACAGAATGTTGATTCTGAAAAGTGAACCATGGCACCAATTGTTTTCTTGTATTAAATCTAATGTTAGAATATTATGTCTGAATAAATGAATGAATGCCTACGCACAACGTGACAACATACACACACATTGAGATTCTTCATTTTGTTATGACCAGGTAGAAATGCAGCTGGAGCTCTAGATAAGAGATGGAGTCTGTGGACTGAGTTCATCTGGGGTTTTGTAATCTTTCTGTGTAAGTGGTTAGCCGAAACTTATAAATGTATTAGGCTTGGTGTGACCAGGGACTCCTTTTTCCAGCAGCAGTGTGTGTGTTTCTGGAGGAGGGAGCAACCCAGGTCATGTTTGTAATTTTTACTTGTGGTTTAAAATAAATCAGCACTAAATGAAGAAAGACGGACTCCTTCATTATTCAGAGCTGTCCAATTAAAAAACTGGGGTATTACAGTGTAGAGTGAAAACAGCAGAGGGGAGAGCACACATCCCTGGGGAGAACCTGTGCTTATTGTCCAGGTGCCAGATGTGGTTTTCCCCAGCCTCACCTGCTGCTCCCTGTCTGTCAGAAAGCTAGTAATCCACTGACAAGTGGGGGCAGGCACAGTGAGCTGGGTCAGTTTGGAGTGGAGGATGTCCGGGATGATGGTGTTGAATGCC